GATATTAATCTTCTTAACATAATCTTTCTATCTTATTTTCCGGAAAAGATTTTCTTCTATAAGGTTTACTTAAAAACCGTGTTTTAAAGATAAGGAAAATTAACTTGTTTATCTTTTAGAAAACCTACTTGCTATACAAGTCATACTTGTATAAATAGTAGAGATCGAAATGGTTTAAGGTTTATGTAAGTTTATGCGTGAAAAAATCAATGAGCTTTAATTGAGTAAGTTTACCAAGCTTCTAACCTTGTCATATTAGTTTCAGATTTCGTGCATTGCTTGCCTATCATATACTAGGTTTCATTACTTGTATTGGTTAGGTTACTTGGGTGTGTGTGTGTGTTTAATATTTACATAAAGTTTGTGTAAGCTTATAGTGTGAAGCTGAGATTTAATGTACTTTGGGAGTACAAGTGAATCTAAGTGTGGTGCTTAGATTGGGTAAGATAGGGTCCTACTGTGTAGCTAATTCGTTCTGGAACTTGTGAGTAAAGGTCTGATTATAGTAGGTTGTAACTTGGTGTTTTCCCTATTATAGTGAAGTGGCTTGTGTTTGAATTCCCTAAGGTAGGGTCGAGGTTTTACTTCCAGTTGGGCCCTGGAAGGTTTCTCGTAAAATCTGTGTGTCTTTGTAAGTTCCTAAAAGCATTATTTTATTATTCCGCAAAAAGTAGTCACTAGGAACTCAAATACAATCCACCCCCCCCCCCCTCTTGTATTATTCGTCTCAACTAACAATTGGTATCATAGCAAGGTTCTCACGTGTAAGAAGATAACTTTGCTGAGTAAGTTCCTGGAGAGATGAATTACAAGGAGAAACTTGAAGAAGGGTATTCCACCCAACATCTGCCCATGTTCAATGGTAAGTTTTACACCTATTGGAAGACATGATGGAGATCTTCATCAAGGCTAAAAATTACCAAGTTTGGCGTGTTATTGAATCTGGTGATTTTGAAATAACCTCAACTAATGAAAAGAACGAGGTAGCTCCTTAACTTATTTCTGATTATGATAAAGAAGACTATCAAAAAATTGAGTTAAATGCTTTAGCCATAAAGTATTTACATTGTGGACTTGGACCTCATGAGCACAATCGTATCATGGGGTGTAAGTCTACTAAATAGATTTGGGATCTACTAGAGGTAACTCATGAAGGTACTAATGAGGTAAAACATTCTAAGATTGATTTATTGATGTCTAGATATGAAAGGTTTGAAATGCAATCTAAGGAGTCTATAGAGGAAATGTTTACTAGATTTAATGATATTATTAATAAGTTAAATTCCCTTGGTAGACACATTCCTATTGATGAACAGGAAAGAAAGATCTTAAGAATCCTACCACAAGATGAACGCTGGAGATCCAAGGTTACTGTCATATATGAAGCCAAGGACTTTACCAAGTTCAACATGGAACAACTAGCTGGATCATTGATGACTCATGAACTTCATCTGAGTTCCAGTACTAAAAGTTCCAAAAACAAGAGTCTTGCTTTGAAGGCTCAAGATTTAGAGGACTCAGAAGTTGATGAGGAAGAGATGGCGATGTTGGTAAGAAGGTTTGAGAAGATGATGAACAACAGGAAGTTTGATAGGAACAAAAGGAGTACAAGTTCCAGAGACACAACCTGTTTCAAGTGTGGGTCTAAATATCACTTCATTAAGGACTGTCCTCTTAAGGAAGGTGACAAAAGAAAGACTAAAGGAAAAGAGTATTCCAACGGAGTCAAGAGTCTATAAGCCTTACTTCACGAAGGACAATGTGAAAAAGGCTATGCTAGCTGCCTGGGGAGATACAAATTCTGAAGAAGAAGAGGATCAACCATCAAAAGAAATTGCTCGTCTATATCTAATGGAAAAAACAGATGAAAAGGAAAAATTGAAAGCACTGTAATCTGAGGAATGGTTTTCTCAAAAAGATTTAAAACATTTCTCTAGAGATAATTTGATATGTGTTGTGTTGGATATACAAGAAGAATTAAAGGAATTATATAAATCTAAACAGCAAAGTGATGAAGCTTTAATAACTTACAAAGATAACAGTGAGTGGATTGATAACATGAAGTTTGACATTCAATATAGGTTCTTTAATTTGTTTGATGATAATAAAATTTTGAAAGAGACTATTGATAGGTTGAAACATGATAACATAATGTTAAATGTGGAACTAGCCTTGATGAAAATCTGCCTTGATGCTCCTAACTTTGAAGTTCCTTCACTTGCTCAATATCCGAATTTTGAAAAACTAAAATTTAATTTGGAGGATTTAAGAACGGATAAGGCACGACTTGAGGGGGAACTCGAGAGATTTAGGAAAGGTAAACAACCTATAGAGTATAGAGCTCTTGATTAGATCACCAAAGCTAAAACCAAAAGAACGGAAGGTTTGGGTTTCAAAAGGAAGTTCCAAAAGAAAAAGAAGTAGGTTAACCTACCTAGTAGTATTGTTTGTTATTTCTGTGGTAAAACAGGACACAAGCAGGTTAAGTGTCCTAAGAAAGAAAAGAGCACACAGAAAAATGAAAACCATGTTGAACAGATTTGGGTTATGAAAAATAATCCCACTCATGTTACACAAGAACCCAAGGAAACCTGGGTTCCTGATACTAATGTTTGATTCTTCATGCAGGTTCCAGTGAGGGGGAACAACACTTAGTACCTCGACAGTGGTTGTTCTAAGCACATGACTGGAGACAAATCTAGATTTCTCTCACTGGATGCCTATTATAGGGGGAACTGTAACCTTTGGTGATAACATGAAAGGAGATATAGTTGTTATTGGCAAAGTAGGAAGGTCAAGTTCCCATTCTATTGATAATGTATTTTTGGTCGAGGGTCTCAAACACAACTTGTTAAGTTTTTCACAATTTTGTGACAAAGGTAACTCTGTAAGCTTTACCTCTAATAAATGCAGAATCATTCACAATGACACTGGAAACATTATTTTAGAAGGAACTCGTAAAGGGAACACATATGTTGTTGATCTTAACGAGGTTCCTAACAGCAGTTTAACATGTCTCAGTGTTATAGAGGATGATCCTCTATTATGGCACAAGAGATTTGGCCATGCAAGCTTTACTTTACTCGATAAGCTTAGATCTAAGGAACTAGTGGAAGGACTTCATTGCATTAAGTTCATGTATGATAAAGTGTGTGATGCTTGTGTTAGAGGAAAGCATACTCGAATTTCTTTCAAGTCCAAGAAAATGGTAAGTATCAAAAGATCTTTAGAACTTATTCATATGGATCTGTGTGGTCCTATGAGAATCCAAAGTGGAAGTGGTAAGAGATATGTAATGGTTATTGTTGATGATTTTTCAAGATTTACTTGGGTTTTCTTTCTAGTTAGCAAAGATGAGACATTTGATGAATTTGTAGCCTTTTTAAAGAAAGAGCAGAGAAGAACAGGTAATCCATTGGTTCACCTCAGATCAGATCATGGAACAGAATTTGAAAACTCAAGGTTTGATAAATTTTGCACTGAGCATGGAATGGATCACAACTTTTCTGCACCAAGAACTCCACAACAGAATGGTGTTGTGGAACGCAAGAATAGAAGCCTTGAAGACATGGCCTAAACAATGTTGATCTCAAGTGGACTGCCTAGGAACTTCTGGGCAGAAGCAGTGAATACGGCATGCTATATTCTTAACAGAGTATTTGTTAGAGCCATCACCAACAAAACTCCTTATGAGCTAATCAAAGGGAGAAAGCCTAATATTTCTTACTTTAGATCTTTTGGATGTAAATGCTTTGTTCATAATAATGGTAAAAGGAACTTGGGAAAATTTGATGAATGTAGTGATGAGGCAGTATTCTTAGGATATGCCTTTAATAGTAAAGCATATAGAGTTTATAATAAAAGAACAATGTGTGTTGAGGAATCTGTACATATTTTATTTGATGAAACTAAACACTTAAATGATGTACAGGATTGTGATGATGATTTTGAAATTGGACTTGTGCGCAAGCAAGATCCAGATGAGGAATCAACATCATTGCAGAAGCAGCAAGCTAAAGATGTAGAAGAAACGAATCCAGAAGCGAATCCAGAAGACAATACAGAATCTGAAATGGAGAATGCACCAGAAACTCCACCTCAAGAGCAAAATCAAGATCAGAATGAGGAAAATCCTGTTGAAGTTCCAACTGAGACTCAAGATCAAGTTCCTACAGAAGAACTAGTTAACAACAATCAGGAAAGATTGTATCCAGTCAGGGACTTTAATCCAAAGCGATGGAAAAATCAAAAATCACATCCCGTAGATGCAATCATGAGTGATATTACAAAAGGAACTCAGACTAGATCTCAGCTTAGGAACTTCTGTGCATTCTATGCATTCCTTTTTTCTATGGAACCAAAGAACTATGTTGAAGCTTTAACTGGTGCAGACTGGATTAATGCCATGCAAGCTGAATTAAATGAGTTTTAAAGAAATAAAATTTGGCATCTAGAACCTAGACCCAAGGATAAGAAGATTATTGGTTTATAATGGGTGTTTAGGAACAAGCTAGATGAGCATGGTATTATTGCCAAGAATAAGGCACGACTTGTTGTTCAAGGCTTCAATCAACAAGAAGGAATAGATTTTGAAGAGACATTTGCTCCTGTAGCCAGGTTAGAGGCTATTCGTTTACTCATTGCTTTTGCTGCTTATATGGGATTCACATTGTTCCAGATGGATGTTAAATGTGCATTTCTAAATGGATATTTAAATGAAGAAGTCTATGTGGAACAACCTCCTGGATTTGAAAATCCAGAGTTCCCAAACCATGTCTATAAGCTTGACAAAGCTCTTTTATAGGCTGAAGCAAGCTCCAAGAGCATGGTATGAAATATTGTCAAAGTTCCTATTGCAAAATGGTTTTAAACGTGGTAAAAAAGATAAAACCTTGTTTTTAAAATCAAATGGAACTGACATATTAGTTGTACAAATTTATGTTGATGATATTTTATTTGGTGCAACTAATGAATCTTTGTGCAAGTATTTTGCTTACCTAATGAGTGGTGAATTTGAAATGAGTATGATGGGAGAATTAAACTACTTCCTCGGATTGCAAATCAAGCAAACTGAAGAAGGAATCATGATCCATCAACAAAAATATATCAAGGAACTGATCAAGAAGTACAAGCTAGATAATGCTAAGACCAATAACACTCTAATGGGTATAGCAACTAGGTTGGATGAAGATCTAACTAGAACTTGTGTTGATCAATCTATGTATAGAGGTATGATAGGTTCTTTACTTTATCTAACAGCTAGTAGACCTGACATATCTTTTAGTGTAGGTTTGTGTGCCAGGTTCCAAGCAAACCCAAAGGAGTCTCACTTGAAAGCAGTAAAGAGAATCCTTAGATACCTTAAAGGAACTGATGATTTGAGTCTCTTCTATCCTAGAAGTGACTCCTTTGATTTAAATTGCTTTACTTATGCTAACTATGCAGGTGATTTGGTTGATAGAAAAAGCACTTCAGGTATGGTACAGTTTTTAGGACCTTGTTTAGTTTCTTGGGGTTCCAAGAAGCAAAACACAGTTGCAATGTCTACAGCTGAGGCTGAGTATGTGACAGCAGCAGCATGTTGTTCACAAGTACTTTGGATAAAGCAACAGGTTAGAGATTTTGGTATTATTTTTTAATGTGTTCCTATTTATTTTGATAATACTAGTGCTATATGTATTTCTAAGGATCCAGTTCAACACTCAAAGGTAAAACACATCCACATTAGGCATCACTTTCTAAAAGATAATGTGGAGCAAGGGAACATTAAGTTAGAATTTTGTCATACTGAAAATAAAATTGCAGATATTCTAACCAAGCCCTTAAGCAGAGAAAGATTTGAGAAATTGAGATTGGAACTTGGAATGATCAAGCTGAATTGATTGCTTCTGAAGTTCCAAGATATGGCAAAGTCAAAAATAATGTAAATACAGCAAAAAGAGCATTTAGCAAAATCTTGGTGTGCTAAACATAGCTGAAGTGTCACCGTTGTTAATTACTAGAGGTAAGTTCATTAAAAATCTTAATTGTATAAGTTATTAATTATGTACATTGCACATGTGTAGAAAGCGTGTTCTAATTGTGTTTTTTTATTTTCAGGAAGTTTTTTTTTAAAATTAAATGAATTTGGAAAGAAAAGGAATTTGGTAAAAATATATCCTGTTATTTGAATTTAGAAAAATTAATTGAATATGTTCAATTAATGACTGAAAAGTGAAAAACTCTTAATTTCCTTTACACCGATTCATTTATCATAAAAGGAATCTTCACCCACCTCTTTCACCGCACTGTTAAATCAACTTAACCCCTTTTCAGTAAAAACCCTTTGAAGCTTAAAACCATCTCTAGAATACCATGGTCATCATTGCTGAAATCGTCTCATCAGAAAATTCTCAAAGCTCCGAAAACACAATTCAAGAGGAAACATCTCCATTAGCCATGGTTAACTACAAACCTTCTTCAACTTTGACCAAAACCCCTGAAAATCCTAAAACCTCATCATCTAAACCTAAAGAAATGGAGAGTAAAAATGACCAAGAAGAGTCATCCGTTTCAAGTGTTCTTCAAAGACTGAAAGAGTGGTAAGAGAAGAAACTAAAAGGGAAGTCACTTGAGGAGAAAATGGAAGAGGTTAACAAGTTTGCTCAAGGGAAACAACTAGACGAATCTAAAGAGGATGACGAAGAAGGAGGAGAGATGAATGATGGAGAGGAAGTGAAAGAAGATCATAACAACTCAGAAAAGGAGGAATTAGAAAAAGGAGGATGAAGAAGAGGAAGGAACTGATCAAGCCGAACTTGAATCACAAGCAGGATGGTATGTTGTAGGACATCGCATTGATTTAGCTTGGTGTAGAAAGGCTAGGTTCCTAGAATTTCTTGATTTAATTAAGTTCCAAGGATAGGAACACTTGTTGGGTAAAGCTTCTGATAATTACATGTACCCAATTGCTATGATTGAGTTTTGTCAGAACTTTAAAGTGAAATTGGGGGTTATGTCTAGTAAAGTTGATGGGACAAAAATTGAATTCAATGTTGAAACCCTAGGTAAAATTCTGAAAACACCTATTGTTGGGTATGAGACCTACATTAAAGGGAAGGCTAGTGTGAAGGTTGGAAAATATCTGAGTGGTGATATAGTTGATGATCTAGGAGGAAAAAGGGGGAAGAATATCATGAGTCACAATGATTTAATTCCATTAAACAAGTTGTTGTTCAATTTAGTTAAGAAAACTATTCTGCCTCGAACTTCAAAGAAAGGAGAAGCATGTCTAATGGACATGGCTGTGATCTTTTGTTTGTCCAAGAAAATAAAAATAAATTTTCCCTCGCTCATGTTTCAGCACTTGGCACAGTGTGTTCCGAGTAAAACTAAGGTGGGATATGGAGCCATCCTGTCCACAGTCTTAGAAAGTTTTGGAGTGGTTCTAAAGGGAAAATATGGAGGTTTGGAGGAGAAACCAGAAAATGTGATTAATGAAGAGACCTTGATGGGGATTAGCTTGGAGGTGGTGAATGGGAAGGTTTTGAAACTGAAAAAAAGGTGAGGAAAAGAAGGGAGAGAAAAAGAAAGAAAAAGTAACATGAAAAAGAAAAGAAAAGGAGGTGTCTGAACAGCCTATAAGGAAGACCAGGAGGATATCTGCTAGTTCTGTTCCTAAGACAAGCATGGAACAGCCACTAGAGTTGGATGTTGAGGAAGGTATCCTCAATGGGAAAGTTGCAGAACTGGTGGAAAGGATGGAAAGGGTTGAGAAACAGATGAAGGATTCTGCTGGAAAACTTCAGTTGTTGGCCCTGGAAAAGCTTGTGCGGGAGCAGAGAAAGGAATTGAAAAAGCTCAAGAAGCTAATTCAGAAACAGGACAAGGAGTTTCAAGAGCAAAAGAAGTTTCTGCAAGAACAGGACAAGGCTCTAAAGGAACAGAAGGAGGAGTTCCAACATAAACTCAAGAGTCTTGAAGACAACCTTGAGGCTTCTGCACAACAAACAAAGGAGGACTACAAGAAAATTTTAGAGTTTCTTGAGACCTAGCTCATCATGTTCTCAATCTACCCCTTTCTAGCCTATATCTAGCCTAGCCTATTTTCTGTTTCTCTATTTCAGTCATGAACAATTTCAATTTATGTTTTAGTTTTCTGAACAAATACTTTTGATTGTAATATTTTTAAAATTGTTCAGCAGGATATTAAATCTTTTGGTTTTTAATTAATAATTGGAACTTGGCCTATACTTATGTGTATATGTATGTTTTGAACACTTATGCAGGAAAGTGGAACTTGCTTAAGATAAGTTAGCAGCGCTGCCTTCAGTTTCCCACACTCGATGAATTGCTTGTGGGGCTGTGGCTAGATACTTAATACCTTGAAAAAGCAGAACTTTTTGATGATGCCAAAAGGGGGAAAAGAAGAAGCAAACTTGGAAGCTGAAGTTGTTCTGGGTTCCAGTTGAGAAAGTATCAGAAATTTCTTCTGATATGATGCCAAGTAGCTTAGTTTATTTCTTATTGTAGTTCTTAATTTATGTCTTTATGTTTTGTTTATAGTTCTTCCTTTTTTTTGTCTTTTGAATTTCAGTTGTGTGTTTATTTCTTTTTGTCAATAAATCAAAAATACAAAAATACGCCTTTCTATTTGTTTTAACTTTTCTCAAGAGTTTGCTTAAGTTTGTCATCATTAAAAAGGGGGAAATTGTTGAAGCTTAAAGGTTTTGATGATGATGAACTTAAACTAAAGCAAACTCAACTAATAAAGGTTTTTAAGTGTTTGATTAGTTTAGGTGAAATTGATCTTGGTGATGGAAGAAGTAACTTGAGCTAAGAAGACTAAAGGAGCCTTTAAACAGAAAGTTATACCAAGTAGAAGAAGAGTTCTCTAACAGGAACTTGAAGACAGCAAGCTGAGATGTCAGCCTAGTCTGCGATTGAGGACAGTAAGGTCCTAAAGGAACTTAGTCTACGTGAAGCCCAAGTAACCTACTTATACAAAAGCGTGGAGCAACAATTTTATTTAACTAAGATTTTATCTTCTAGATTTATTATTAAATACGTTAAGTAGGCTATGCACGAAATTTATTAGAAGCGCGGCAAATTAGCTTGGTAAATAAATTAAAAGGGAAAAGATAAAAGATAGATTTTAGAAAAAAAAATTCTAAAAGGTTTTATTTCTTAAAATCAGTTTGTTAAAAAGATATTATTCTTCTAAACATAATCTTTCTATCTTATTTCCGGAAAAGATTTTCTTCTATAAGATTTACATAAAAACCGTGTTTTAAAGATAAGGAAAATTAGCTTGTTTATCTTTTAGAAAACCTACTTGCTATACAAGGCATACTTGTATAAATAGTAGAGATCGAAATGGTTTAAGGTTTTTGTAAGTTTATGCGAGAAGAAATCACTGAGCTTTAATTGAGTAAGTTTACCAAGCTTCTAACCTTGTTATATTAGTTTCGGATTTCGTGCATTGCTTGCCTATCATATACTAGGTTGCATTACTTGTATTGGTTAGGTTATTTGGGTGTGTGTGTGTGTTTAATATTTACATACAATTTGTGTAAGCTTCTAGTGTGAAGCTGAGATTTTACGTACTTTGGGAGTACGAGTGAATCTAAGTGTGGTGCTTAGATTGGGTAGGATAGGGTCCTACTGTGTAGCAAGTTCGTTCTGGAACTTGTGAGTAAAGGTCTGATTATAGTAGGTTGTAACTTGGTGTTTGCCCTATTATAGTGAAGTAGCTTGTGTTTGAAATCCCTAAGGTAGGGTCGAGGTTTTACTTCCAGTTGGGCCCTGGAAGGTTTCCTCGTAAAATTTGTGTCTTTGCAAGTTCCTAAAAACATTGTTTTATTATTCCGCGAAAAGTAGTCACGAGGAACTCAAATACAATTCACCCCTCCCTCTTGTATTATTCGTCTCAACTAACAGGTGGGATTATTTTGGACGGATGAGACAAATGTCGAATTATTTCGGACAATTTTTCCTAAATTAAAAGACTATATTCAAAGTTTCCTTTAATGTTTAAGAAACAAAATATATGTATTAATTTAAAATTATTACAATGGTAATTGAATTCTTTTATTCTGTATTAAAAGATATTTTTTTTTTCAAACAAAGTCAATTAAATTAATTAAATAATAAAAAAAAAAGTTGTCTAAAAACAAGTGGAAAAAAAAGATTATATTATAATTTAAATATTGCACATTGTGATAATAAGATTGAACATTTAATAATATGAAAATAAACATTTTTTTTTTTACAAAAGAGCTATCAAATAAATTAAGAAAAGCAAAATTACAACCTAATAGAGCTAAAAGAAGCAAAAACCAACCTAACACGAACTACTACCAAAACTACCTTGTGTAAAGATGCTAAGACAACACACCTAAACCTAACATCATAGAGCGCCTGACAATGAAAGGAGGAAATACGAAGCAAACCAGAGTACCAGAAAAGATTCACAGCACCCCAAATACTACAGAGCCTAGCCAACCAAGAAAATCGTACCACATTCTCAATGTGGACCGAGAGATGCCGAATTAACCATAACATTCGAGATGGACAGAAAACACAGAATAACCTCAATGCAGAAAACATGAAGTGGCACTGGCATCGAAAAATGAGTGAACCCTGTTGCTGAAGAAAAAAACCCTTGATACCATTCCACTCCTAGGGATCGAAAATCAAAGTCGCATCCTAGAAGTCTTGGAACAAACCCAAAACAGTCGTATACTAGAACGACTCTATCATGATAAACCATGCATTCCAATGCAGGTTCTCTTCCCACAAAGAGTGCAAGATAATGGAGGACTTTGCTTACCCTAAACACTAAAGATGGGGAGCCTCCTTCATGATTTTGATTTACAGCGATGACTGACTTTGTCATCACCAAAACAAACAACAAGGGGATGATTGCAATTGTATGAATGCCTATATCATCCCACAATCAAGCAACAAGGACTGCAAACAAACCGCTTCTCTCAACACCACTCTCCCCCTGCAATCTCCAAATGCAAGGGAACTCTTCCAACTGCATATGAAACTTGACCCCCTGGAAAACCAAACAAGAAAAAACAACCATACTCCCGGAGAAGGAAACCCCATCACTTGATTGAGAACTCCCCTTCACCCGATAAACTTTAACTACCAGGGGAACAAAGACACACCCCGAAAAGGCAACCACACGAACCACCAACCCAACTAACAAGGGATTGCTTAACCTTCCAACCCCTAAAACCGACCAACAAGGCTCCAAGAACAACGACCACACTTCATTAACCTTCATAACCAGAACAACCCTATGAACCTCTAACTCATCACCACGCAGAGAAAGAGAATTATTAAAAATCAACAACCAAAACATCAAAATACACAAGGAAATCATAGATGAACTAAGACAAATAAATAACAACTATTCACAACTAAACAAAGCAAAGAAAACAAACACACGAACATCAGGAAGAACGAAGCTAATACCATCAGGAAAAATAAACAAACTTGCAAGAGAACAGAGGAAAAAACAACGAATCAAACCTCACCGGCACCAACCCAACCCACACTGAGAACAATCGTCAACGGCACCTCAAAGAACCCCTTCACTGAACCTAACCTTGGGTACACGAGGAAACCCTAACCTTAACTTCACCTTTACCGTCGGGAATTAATTAACGAAATTCCTTTCGACGGCAGCGTTAAGACTAGCCTTTGGTTCTTGATTTGTTGAAGCAAGCCGCCAAGAACTTGACGATGAACCCAAATAATGGACGGCCGAAGAGGAACCCCTGTTCTTCACCAACAGACCCAGAAAAACTAAAATTAAATAGCAAAAAGGAAAGCTACGAAAGGGTGGGGCTCGCCGGCGACGGCTAGGCAAAACCCGCCAGTCGCCGGCGAGCAGAAGCTACGAAAAAGGGGGACGGTGGAGGATAGAGATGAGGGTTAGAGAGAGAAAGAGTCGAAAGATTAGTGATAACCGCTATTATACTTGAAAATAAACATATACTTATATAAAACTGAACAATTTATACGTGATTCGATACCGAAAAACTACTATAAAATAACATCATTCTAAAGAAAGAGAAAGTGCAGGTAGTGCTATCTACATATGAGTGTAGGCACAAATTTGTACTTTAATGTACACAAAGACTATAAGATTTCATTATACCATCCTATAAAATTTTCTATTTGCACTAAGGTAACATTTTATAATGATAAGAAACAAGTTGTAGAACTAAGATTAATGTTGAAGAAAGCATTGTACGGGAGGATGCCGACAAAGACATTAATTAGCCGATAACAAATCTGTTAATTACCATAATTGCTCAATATCCATAACGGCCTTTCTCTCGGCCACATGGAGAGCTGCTCAAGACCACGTAGGCACCTGCTACTTACAATGTCGGTTTGCCACCTACGCTGATAGGTGGCAACAGCTTGGTTGTCTTCCTATATATACCCAATCACATTTCCATAATGAAGGTACAATCTCTTTTCCTTTCTCTCTCTAAACTCTCTCTTTCTCTTATTCCTTCTTCTCAAATTGCTAACTTTAGCATCGGAGCGGTTATTTCCGAATAACCCCCCAGGCTAGCTAATTTGTGTTGACTGTGCAGGCATCGAATTGGACGGTAAACCTCTTTACCAACCCCAAGACATCACGGTAACGGAACTCACCCGGAACAGGCAAAACTATAAAACCAACATCAATCTATTGAGAAAAATACTATTTACAAATACATGATTCTCTCTCTAATCTTATACAAAGTCATCCATACAAGTAAAGTCTTGCTTGTATGTGCTACGAACTAAACTTAATACAACTAAGACGTGCAGTGCTGGAAAATTAAGCATGCTTAAAAGGTACCTTGGTACATGCTTTACATTGCACAATATCAAAATTTGGTGTTAATAGCTTTAAATTAGACATTCAACCAAGTACATAAATCAATGATTGGCTCTTAATTAAATGCGAGCAAAGAAATTCAGTATACTACTTTTTTTATTTCCTGAAGCTTTGCAGGTGCTTATCTTACCTTTTTTCAGAGCTTTAAACTGTTCTTTGTTGTCAACTAACGTCTGAATTGTAGAGTTTACACTGTCCTGGGATCAAGAGTTTGCCTTCTCAACTCGAGTTGATCATCCTCAGTCACTGTTGACTTTGTTGTAGGGGTAGTTTCTATGTTCTCTGAATGAAGTTTCCTTTTTCGGAATGGATTGTTGTCAGGTGTCTTTACCGGAAACTCAGAAACAATAGAGATTTCTTCATCATTGTGAGCCTCTGATGCAAGGACTAAATTTGAAAGAGCTGCAGCTTCATCCGAGAAATTTTTTTCCTTCAAGACTTGTCTAGGGGCCGTCATAGTACTTGTGCCTATAAATACAATGGCATTATTGTCTGGTCAGTTTAACATATATTTAGACTTTCAAAAGTAAAACAGGATATTCTTTGATGATCAACTTACTTGAAATGCTTCTCTCTTTTTTACTTAGGTATGAATATACAGTAAAACAGCTCTGTTCTTGTTTCTCTTTGTCCCCATGAACTTCGAATGCTGGATAAAGGTTTCGCTGCTCCTGTGTGCAGTAATCGTTGCAGCTACATGTTATTTTCGAAATCATATCTTAAAATAATAATTATAGGGTCTTTTCTCCACCGGTTTTTCAAGGCAGGGGTGGTAAAAAATAGAGGGAAATAAACTTACGATGCTTATTTCCTTTATTGGTCTGTTGAGATAAAGCAGAACAAGTCTCTACAGCATCTGCTGGATCAGACACCTCACACTGATCAATTTCAGCCAATCCAGAATTTTTCTGGCTCAGTGAACACTCGTAAGCTTCCACTGTAGAGGGGTCTAAATTACCTTCAGCAATAGCAGTTGAAATTGATGGAGGAATGATCTGATAGTTTTCACCAGTGGTTAAAGAAGAAGCGAGTGTGCAGCACTTATACACAGACACAAGTAAACAACCTTAGGAATGGGGGTAATCTTTTAAATTTATCATACATATTATTTTTCACATAAAGCATCACAAATAATGTTGTTGGGTGGGAAAATTTTGGCTTTTGTCTCGGCTATATAAATGGAATTTTCATTTAATGTTAACTTTTTATGTCTTTTCATTTAAGGTTTCTCAATAAGCTAGGTTTTGTCAGTGATCTTACAGCACAGCTTCCATGCAACGACTTGCAAAAACATCATTTCAGATACAGAAGCTTAGACACTACTCCTAAGAGCAGTGGTAAATTCACACTCGGTATTTGAATAACATGTCCAATGTCAATGGACATTTTGAGGTTATTTCTATTACTTTTTTTTATCTAGAGGCATTTTGAGGTTTTCCTGACTTAGTTGTAAGAAGGCAGTTTTGGAATGAAAATAGGATCAAATGGTTCTATCCTGGAGTAGACAAAAGTTCCTCCTTACTGTAGTAAATATTAAAATGTTGATTATTCAGTCTCATGTTCAAATAACCTTCTCCATATAAGAGGTATATGATTATTGGCATATGCATCTCCAATGAGCCTAGTTAAAGGGAAGCAATGAGAAGGATACGGTCCCAAGAAAAAAATTTCTCCTCCGAGTGACTCCAAAAGTGTTTCTGGGAGTTCTTTCATGTGCTCAACTTTCTTCTTTTCTCTATTATATCTAGGAAAAACATCAGCAGTAAGCAAGAATAGAAGAGGTAAATTTTTCATTACCATATGTGAGAATTCATACTTAAATGAGAACTGATTTAAAATTTAGAACATGTGAGTAAAAATTTAGAATATGTGAGTTAAAATTTAGAACATGCGAGTTAAAATTTAGAACATGTGACTTAAATTAAAATTTTGAACATATGAGTAATAATTTAGAACATTGGTGTGAATAATATGTTTTAAACATCTGATTTAAGAATAAGAACAAGTGATTAAAAATTTATAAAATTTACTTTATGAAATTTTAAACATATGAGTAAAATTTAGACATCTGATTTAAGATTATGAACATGTGAATAAAAATTTAGAACAAACTGATATAGAATATAGAAAGTGTGAGTAAAGAATTTAGAACATACGAGTAAGAAAATAGAACATATACACTTTAAAATCTGGAACATATAATCTGGAACATATACACTCTCGTGAGAATTTTTCTTATATGAGAATTTTTCTTATGTGAGAACACTCTTTATGTTCTAAATTTTTACTCATATGTTCTAAATTTTAAATCTGATGTTCTAAACTTTTTTTTAGCTGTTCTAAATTGAATCAAATGTTCTAATTTATTACTCACATGTTCTAAACCATAAATTAGTTAAGCTTGATGTCATAAATTTTAAATAACTTGTTCCAAACTTTTAACTTTTATGTTCTAAATTTTAAAACGTGTGTTCTAAGATTTTTAATTATATGTTACAGATTTTCTAAGATTTTTTAATTATATGTTCCTGATTTTAAAGCGTATGTTCTACTTTTTTTACTCGTATGTTCTAAATTCTTTACTCACACTTTCTATATTCAATATCAGTTTGTTCTAAATTTTTATTCACATGTTCATAATCTTAAATCAAGTGTTCTAAATGTTACTTATATGTCTAAAATTTCATAAAGCAAATTTTATAAATTTTTAATCACTTGTCCTAATTCTTAAATCAGATGTTCTAACATATTACTCACACAAATGTTCTAAATTATTACTCATATGTTCAAAATTTTAATTTGAGTCACATGTTCTAAATTTTAATCAGTTCTCATATAAGTATGAATTCTCATATATGGACCTATTCTCACCGGATCCCTCCCCTATATATATATATATAATATATATATATATATATATATATATATATATATATATATATATATATACATTGGAAACTGGGAAACTGCCAACTTGTGAGGCAGCCCTTTGAGTATCATTTTCTTACATTGTAGCATGTTGGAACACCGCCACTGCTTCCTTGAAAGATCTTGCATAATCATCAGGCACTTGCTTACCCTTGTCTGTCTTTAAAACTGATAGCACCTGCAAGAGTAGACGAGCAGGAGGAAAATAGAGTGTTATGGCTAGTTGAGATAGCTCAAATGTTATGACGTTAAATGATGCACCATTGCCTGCAACAGAGAATCTATCATACAAGAAGTCAATGGCAGAGTTCAGGTTATAAAACCAGAACCAAGCAAGCAGGTGAAGGAGGATGCCATGCTAGCCATTTTATTCTGATATGTAGACTGTTAAAACTTAAAAGACTAACACAGAGGGGGTCTAGCACTCTAGCCTGCAATCCATGGGTTTAGGTATCTGATTAAATTGAAGATAATTAAGGCTAACATGGATCCATAAGGACAGTCTTTGATAAATTCACAATAGTTCAACATGACAAATTGGACGTATTGATTTTTGTTCTTTTTTTTTCAGATTTTAGCCAACAAAGCAGAGCTATAAGGAAAAGCTTCAAGCTAATGAAAAGGGAAATATTCTTACAAGTTCACAGCAACTGTTGAGTTCCATTCACACTAAAGAAACAATCGATGGGAAATCAGCATTCTTGTTAGAGAAAGGCAGTTATTGTATTTTCAAAATCCTTTTGTAATTGTTTGAGAGTACTAGTTCAGATCTGTAAATTAAGTACTTGAAAGATGTAAGACTATAGAAAGCTAACGTAATACTGAGAAGAGGGCATAGCCACTTATAGAAAATATTTCAAGAGTTATGCTCTTTAAAAGCTGGTTGTATTCAACAGTGAGGAAGGTCTAAATTTCTGAAGGGTGAAGCTCCAAAGATCCATTTTATATCTAGACAGCTTAGGTAATTTTATTTGACTTCCTTTAGCCTCATATATACATAAATTCAATTGCAATAATTTTAATCCAATTTACTTCTTTTCTCTTCTTTCAATCAAATTTCCCGAGTATTATTTCCATTCTGCAAGAAAAACATTCTGAGAGAAATAAACATGAAATCTAGAGTTATCCTAAGGGCTTATAATCCTATAATGCAACAGCTAAGGAGATTCAAACAATTAGGGATCAAGAATTGTGTCATTTAGTCTTATTTGAAACCTTGGATGAAGTGGAAAGAAGACAAATAAATCCTAATATGATTCTATGTCTGATCTCCTAGAGGATAAACACTCATAATTCTGATATGCTTGGCTGACAAAAGACACTTACACGATCTATGTTGCGGTACTTTGAGACCAGCGCATGAGCTTTAACAATTCCAATACCAGGAATAGATGGAAGAAAATCACAGCCTGCCAAGACGCACATATCTGTGGGCAAAAATACCATAAATCACAATTTGAGTTCAAACATCTAGGAGAAAAAATATATAAAAAAAAAATGCCAGATAAAGTATAGAGGTTTCCTTGTTATCCCTCTACAAATACATAATACAGATGCTAATGCAAGTTATAGGGAAGAGATCCAGCTTAAATAAAGCATAAAAATTGTTTGAAATATACCTATGAATAAATTGGTGTTGAAGTTTCGGAATGATGGTTTAATTTCTGTCGAGTTGAAAACCTTATCTATAATGATCTCCTCACCATTGCCAAATCGATCCATTTTAAAAATGATCTGTTCACCAGCGTATATAATTATGAGAAAACAAAGAATGAACCAGCGATATGGAATTGGAAAGTTGCCAGTAAGCGGTATAACTCCCATCTTCAGGGACAGAGAGTTGACGAAGTTCTTACAGATGGGCAACCATATGCCAACAGATCACTGTCCTCACTAATTATAGCCACGATACCACCATTTTCTTCTCCAAGGCTAGACAAGTATGCCAATTGTGCATCAGCTTCATATGGAGCAACAATAAACTCGACATTTTCTGTTTTCAAAGTCTGAACATAAGTACACAAGTGAGCCAATAATCTTATAGAAGCAGGCTACTAGGTTAGAAGCATCCAAAGAACAAACTCAAAAATATAAAAGCTCACATATTTAACGTGTCAATGAAAAGCAAAACATTACTTGGGTGAATGACATACCTGTATCAATAGGTGTGCCATAGATGGAGTGATGCTGATTGCTCTCTACAGAAAAGAACCAAACTTGTCAATGTTGGAGTTTATGCATTGCTTTAGGCAGACACATATAAAGAGATGGATGGGACTTCAATCAATAATCAATATTATGGAGTACAAAGTGAATTTATTTGTTAATTAATCTTGCAAAGACTTAGTTAGGACTTAGGAGTTATACTTATAATTATAACAAAAAAACAAAAAAAAACAAACAAAATTTAATAATTGTTTATGCTATCACATTTTCTGATAATAACATTCTGGCATTCTGCAAAAATAACTACAAGATTAATGTTCATAGTACTGCAAGATATTATATTATTAGCATATTACAAAGTAAACAATATGAGATATAAATCCCCTAAAGCAATTAAGCAACCGATCTGTGCCGGAACGGGTCCATTTTAACATTCCATTATGGAGTAAAAAGAAGATATTGGTTATTTAGGTTGATGTACATGATATTTTCAATGGTACAACCTGCAGACCAGCTCATAAGAACTGCAGGACAGGTTGCATATGTTCCTCTACCAGTGCACTTCCTACTTTTGAAATTTATCTTAGAAGATCAACACTAATTTTAGTGTCTAACGAAGCTTGTTGAGGCTCTTGTATGTCTAAGAAGGAACAGAAAATAACCAGTAGCTACAACTTTTGTCCAGAGAGTAACAGAGTTCCATACTACTTCCATATAATTTGGTTCAAGTGTGTACAGTGTACTTGATAGCCGATCTAGAGCTCTCTTTTCTTAGCGATGTCAAAAACTATTTCTAATTGAAAAACACACAAAATATTCCTCATTTTTGTGAATCTGAAGAAGGTGAGACTCGTGAGAACCACTGAATTAGTGCATAAAAAAACTAAACCTAGCAACAAACATGCCAGTCATTTGAGAGTCAACTTGCACATTTTCTCTATTTTATAGGACTTCGTTTTTGAGGTTATTCAGAAATACGCACTTCACATCAAATTTAACAATAATTCCAAGTCCTGCTGACTCATTTGATGTCTTAGAAATTGGCAGAACTTGTAACAATAGTATAAATTAGCTATCGTAGGGCCAACAAATTAGTTTCATATGTGGGCATGAGAACTAGATACATTTACACTTTGATGATAGTTGGAAGTCCAAGGTAACCTAAAGTTTGATTTTTTTAAAAAAGCCAAAAAAAACCCTTATGTCAGGATAACATTGAAGAACAGAAAAGAGGCTACAACCTTTTCAATCTCAACAACATCTTCTGATTGCTCCATATCATTTTTGTTTCTTCCACATCCAAAATATACCCTATTCTGAATTCTCCACGGTAGTTGTTGCAACACAACTAAGACTCGTAACACTTTTCTATTAGTCCTCAAGACTAAAAGCTATCACAAACTTACTGCATCGAGTGCAGGGGCCTGACTGTCCAAGTTATGGCCCTTCATAAGAGCTATTTACTGGCTTTAGTGTTCATAATGAATCCTAATGACAAAAAGAGTACAACAAGTACAAAACTAAGTAATGTTTATCTCAAACATTTCCATATTCCACATTGTAAATATTGAAGCGATAGCCACATTTACACAACTAGACATAGTGGAACAAAGAATTTTTCAAACGTTGCAGGGTCAGACTTTTTTTCTATAATCCTGTGCTCTGAAACTTGCAAAGTCAGTCAACATAAAAAATAAAGAATCCAAGATGTACTAGCTTGGTTAGTATATCTCAGATATATCTCGGCGTGGTTATATCCAAATAATATAAAACATTCCTCACAAATAACTTGATATGTTAACTACTTAACTCTCCATGTATGCTGCAAGCAGCCCATTTCTTTTTCAACTAATGTAGCTAAAAATTAAGCAAAGATACCAGCAGAAGAATAAAATTAGCCATCAAACTACTAAACATGAGAAAAACTAGGCTGATTAACATAATTTAATAAGTAACAAAACAATTCAAAACAGGAATAATCACGAATGCATCCGATAAACAAAGGAGATTCATCGAAATCACACAAAGAGAGATTAATCTAACCTGAAAGAGTTCAATGGCACCACCAACATTCCCCTCGTTAAGTTTCTCCATTGCCATTTCCTTGTTAACTTTTCTTCTCCTGAATCAATATATAGTATGACAGACCAATTAGTGTCTACTACAACCATAAATTAAGCACATATAACACGAGATCGGTTCCGCATTCGAGCAAGCGGTATTAAAACATGCCTGTATCGCTCGTTCTCAGTCCCGGCTTTACAAGGAATGTTCCCACCATCAAAAACCACAACTGGGGTAATCTTATGGTGCTTTAGTAACTTAATTCTGTGCATGAAATAATTAATGTATTGCAGTTTCTTTTCTCCCTCTGAATTTAAACTCAGCTTCATGCTACACGAGTATGCTGTAAAATAAAATAAAAAATCAATTATACTTCTAAAAACTAAACCCATTTGAACTCCAATTAGAATAAAAAAATAAATTACATAGCAATAATTGGTACCTCCTCTGTGAAGCCAAGCATAAGCATCAATACCCACCTGCAAAAAAAAATAAAATATATTAAGTCCGATAAATTGAATAGCAAAAATTCTTATATGTGACGAGGCACGCTATTAATTGATGGTGTGACGAATGTAAAAGAAAGGGAAAATACTCGTTTGCCGGCATATTTTCGAACGTGGATGGGCTCGGTGTATGGTTTAAGAAATCTGAGAAGATCTTTGATGCCCATTATTGAGGGTGTTGTGGTGGTGGAGAGGCGGAGACGGCAATGGCGGGAAGAAATGGGGTGAAAATGTGGATTCTACTGAATTGACTTAGTAGTCAGTCAGTCTGTGACGGTATGTTTTGTGTGGTTGAAATGAGAATACAACAACTGGGTTTCTGGGTTATTTGGTTTGGTATTGTGTGACCCGGAGTTTAACTAAAATTTACCGGGAATCAAATTCGAATTGGGGAAACAATTAAAATTAAACCGCGCTCTTTTGTTTCTCCTCAAAGGACTTGTGTAATTTTATTTTTATTTTTTATTTTTTTTTTTTGTAAGGAAGCTTAGGTATATCAATCATCAATACTATCATATTATATCATATCATATTATCCTATCATATAACTAATATATAAAGCTAAACTTTTAGTCAGGTGAAAAGGCAGCGACACTTGGCGTTTTAAATAAAATTCACAAGAAAAAAAAAGTTAGTTTAGAATATTATTTGGATAAAATTATTAGTTTAGATTTTTATTTTCGATAAAATACCAATGTTTTAGATGTACAAATTGAATTATTAATTTATTCAAAAAAAATTATTAGATAATTATTTTAAAAAATTATCAGATAAATTTATTTTTTATATCATAATATTTTATTAGAGCGAAGGAAGTAGTTCAACGCGTAAAACATACATTTATAATATATACTAATCGGTTAAAATAATAAAATTCAAAATGTAATAGAATTTTAATTACTATGTAGACCTATCAATTAGGATCGGGTCATGAGTCATCTCGGATTAGATCACTTCAGGTTATGAGTCAAGAAATGTTCAACCCTTGCCCAAAGTTTTGGGTTCGGGTCAACCCAACGGGCTTTGAACATTTATTTTATTTTAATTTATTTTTTGCTTAATTTTTTTTTAATGTATTAAATCGAACATTTCCACCAACATTATTATTAGTCATTACATACCTACTAGATAGCTAATGATCATCACAAAAGCACATCAATTCCTAACTAATTTTGTATCAATGATTTACTAGAAAATTTGATACATAAAAAAAATTATCTTAAAATTCAATAAAGATGCACGGGGCACAAAACTAGTAACTAATATATAAAGCTTTTAGTCAGGCCATGGGGCAGTGATACTTGGCATTCCAATTTTTCGCCAAGTGTGACGCCATGTTAGATATTAAATAGATTTCATAAGATAAAAAAGTTAGTTTAGCATTCTATTTGGATAAAATTTTACGATAAAATTGTTAGTTTAGAATTTTATTTTTGATAAATACCAATATTTCAAATGTACAAATTGAATTATAATTTTATTCAAAAAAATTATTAGATAATTATTTTCAAAAATTATCATATAAATTTATCTTTTATATCATAACATTTTCTTGGAGCGAAGGAAGTAGTTCAACGCGTAAAACATACCTATATAATATATACTTATTGTTAAAATAATATATTTCACAATCTAATAGAATTTTATTACTATATAGACCTGTCAATTAGGGTCGGATCACGAGTCATCTCGGATAGAATCACTTCAGGTTACGAGTCAATAAATGTTCAACCCTTACCCAAAATATTGGTTTTGGGTCAACCCAATGAGTTTTGAACATTTATTTTATTTAATTTATTTTTTGCTATTTTTAATTTTTTTACGGATTAAATCGAACATTTTCACCAACATTATTATTAGTCATTACATGACTACTAGATAGCTAATCATCACAAAATCACATCAATTTCTACCTATTTTTGTATCAATGATACATCTAAAAATTTGATATATAGATTAATTCAATAAACAACCCGGGCATCGCACTAGGCACAAAACTAGTACTATAGTAATCACCAAAAATATCTCATAAGTACACTAGTCACGTTCATAATTAATATTTTCCCGTTAAAACATTTTTTTTGCTGAACTAAGGCGGCCTATGCGCGCAGAAGAAGGGCTAGCTCTTGCAGAGAAGTTATATTGGCGTGTACTTACACTTTTGATTTGGGTGGTAGACCTGGTAGTTTTAATATGTACTATTTGGTTTACGTGCGCCTATGCGATGGCTTTGTACAAGTATAAGAAAGCCACTGAAATCTTTTATGATAATTATTTTTTAAAATCCTCAAATGTTTAACAATGTTATTTCAAATTTATTATAAATAATATTTAATTGATTTACATCCCTTCATATCTTAAGAAATTGTTAATGTAAAACTTTTAATTGATTTACATTTTTTAATAATACCTAGCGTGTTTTTCTTCAAATTAATTTTATGTGACCTTTGGTAATACACTCATACGGAGTAATAATATGTGAAATGTTCGTTGTAGCTAAAAACATAATAATGTAAGTTCTTTAATTGTCTACGACCATCTAATATCTATATCTATAACTAATATTAAAGCAATAACCAATTAGTTATATTTTTTTCTCTTAAATTCTCTCCATAATTAATACCCCATTTTTTTAAATCATCAATTTTCCTTGATTTTAGGAATTTAAAGTTTTTTATACCTCTTAATAACATCTGCTCAAATATCACTATTTAATATGAATCTCATTCAAATTTCATAACGTTGTTTATGTGCCATCAAATAATGTAAATTTCAAAAGCTAATAAGGCTTAGCAATAATTGCAATTAAAGGACGACAAGATTGTAAATAAGAAGAGCAACCACGAATAAGTGAAAATAATTAAACAGTCTCTTGGTAGTAAACAGTCTCTTCGTACATACAATTTTTTTTTAAATAGTAATAATAACATATGAAGGATAAAGTATTAGAATATTTTTATAAAAAAAAAACATTAAAAGTTTTTTGTGAAAAAAAAACTTTGAATTAATTAATGATATGTTTAATGATTAAAAAAAAACATTGAATGTATTATTCAGAGTAAGCATATTAATGAGAGTAAAAAAGTAAATACACATTTTTTTACACATCTTTTTACATATTTTTGAGGGTACAGTTGGTAGCACACTAATCGTAAGAGTTATCTTCTATAGTAACCATATTAATGAGGGTAAAAAAGTAAATACACATTTTTGTACACATCTTTTTACATATTTTTGAGGTTATAGTTGGTAGCACACTATTCCTAAGAGTTATCTTCTACTTTTTATAAGGTAGGGAAAATATAATTAAGATAATTTATTTATTTTTAAAAAAAAAAGAATCTACAGCCTAATAACCCTAAAATATAGAATAATAATGCACAAAAACTTTAAATAAAAAAAATAATAAATATTTGCCTTATAAATAAATAAGAAAATATTAAAAATAACATTATAGTAAATTAGTGATTTTTTTTTACCCTTTTCATAATCAATTCAATTGAAATTTATGGTTGCAAATAGAAAAGAAAAATTTGTCGGGAATAAGCCGACCTTTACGTGGTTTTCTCAAAATAATTCAATCTTTGGATTAACTAAAAATAAGTTGACATTTAAGGGATATTTCCTTTTAATAAGTCAAATGACTTGCAACCTACAAACAAGTTATTTCTTTTTTTTATCATTTATTTTATCTATATATTTTTTTGTAAGGAAAGAATCCACCACTATTGATCATCCCCCTACCCCACTCCCACTTTGGTCCACCGCACAGTCGGCAAGACCACCGGCCTCCCGTAGAATTTCTTTCTTTCTCCGATAACCTGCGAAAAGACGAATGTAAACCACCTGCGATGGTGGGATGGAAGAAAGAGAAAGGGATCGTTGGTGGTGAGGGGGTGATTGACGGTGGTAGGCAAGGGGCCTGAGGTACATGTGATGAGACCAACGGGAGTGGGATGGAGGGTTGTTCCACGGTAGAGGGAGAGGAATTAAACTAAATAAATAAAAACAATTAGTTATGATTTATATTTTAAAATGAGGTTTAAAAAATTAAAATGAACCAATAACGTTATGTGTAGACACTCATTTGTGTCTCCCCAAAATCAAACCCAGTGATGAGTACCTTTCACGTCGAATCATAATCGAATGAAGTAAAAGTGTGGAAAGTCTAGTGTTGCGGTTAGTTTTTATTTCTTTTCTTTCTCTCTGTTTTTGAAAATATATTTTAAGAAAACAATCAATCCAGTTTGGTTTGGCCCATGGCAAGGGTCCAATAATGGTGTAGTTGGGTCGGGTTCGAAAAGAGCTTTCCAACAATATATTATAAGCCCAATTCCGATGAATAATGAGGAAGTTATGGCCAAATTACTAAACTGGGCCCGGTTTGATCTTTATATGCGGCCCAATGATCTAGAGGAGGGCCTATTATTGAATTATCATTCCTAATGTGAATAGGATTGATTATAGTCTTCTAGAATCTTCTAGAAGGTTCTTTTAAATCCTAATTTAATTAGCATTGATAAATTGACTTTAGTTGACTTTTTAAGAGTTTTAATCAGAATAAAAAAGTGATTTTAAGGAAAATACAATTTTGCCCTCTCATACCATTAAATTTTTTCAAAAAATAAAAACGGTTGGAAAATTATTTCTAGCGCCATACGACAGCTCTGTCGCCTGGCGACAGACCTGGCGTCTGGCGAAAGATCTGTCGTCTGGCGATAGGCGCGTGTTTGGCGTTGCGGTCATGTTTTATTCTTTTCGAAACTCTGATTTGTTTTTTATCATGTCAAGATGATTATCTCTATAAATAACCTCCTAAAACCTCCGTTTTAAATCATCAATTCTTAGGAATTCTTTCTTAACCAATTCTCATCAAGAATCTCATAATTACTCTCTCTCTCTCTTTTCTAAACCAACCTTTTTACATACAAATTTCCACATTCACAAGATCTAGAAACACCTAGCCAAATTCAAAGTTGCCTTCGCCCTAGACGTGAAAGGTTTAAATTTCTGAGGGTTTGGTCACAAATCTCTATTTCAATTATTTAAATTAATTGTTTGTTTATTATTTTCTTTGAAGTTACTAACACGTGTATTTTGTTATTAGAAAGAGGTACGAGGCATCCAAGTAAGTGTTGTAATTGTTTGCATTGATATTATGATATAGAAATCATGTCTAGGTTGCTATTATGATTCCTAGTGTCATGTTAGGGTATTTGATCTTCCTAGTATCATGTTTAGGGTAACAACTAAAATTTCTAATATCAAATATGACAATTGTGATTCCTACGATGCTTACTGTTCCCTTCCTAATATTCATGTTAGTATCATGTTAGGGCTAAAGTTTTGATTTTTATTGTTTAGTGACATGGTAGGGTTTGTTATTAATCTTGTTAGTATCATGCCTAGGATCTTGCTATTATTATTCTTTAACATGATTATTTCAATTATGCTTGTAATTTCAATTATGATTAGTATGATTATTTTTTATGATGATTATGTTGCTTGATGTATTTA